TTTCCCCCTTTTAAAATAACCCTCCTCCTGTAGTTTCCAGGCTTGTATCCACATATACACGATTAGGATATCCTTAAATTTCTGAAATTTTCAAACTGGCTTTGCAACAAAATTCTTCTTCTGGATTGCAACTTCGTGTGGCAGTAGTTGGACAAGTAGGCTCCTTACATCCAAGAAATCCTTGTCCCTTGTGGTTACCCACAAACACTGCAGTATCTACTGGGACAATAGCCAGATAGCGTAGATAATCTTGCTATTTTGCGGTGTTTTAGAAGTATCAGAGGAGGCTTAGTTTGAAGTTCGCAGGAGAGAGAGAGGGGTGGGTGGTGATGTCGGGGGTGGGGTGGAGGGTGGGTGGGTGGGGGTGTTTTATAACCCGGTGGGTAGTGAGGGCGGGCGGCAGTGGGCCACTAGCTGGAAGTGTTGCCTTCTCACTATCACTTAATAAACCCTGTTTATGCTATCCACTTTTCCCATAAGGAAGATGTTACACAAATCACTGTGTTGCATTGTACCAGCCACGTTGTTATATAAGCACCAGATGTAGTACATAGCACAAAAACACATATAACATTAGACGCTCACTCTGAAGGCAATAGTGAAGACACTCCTAAGGCCTGCGCTTCCCCTCACACCATGTCTTTCACATACCACACTTAATATCCACTGATATTGCTCTCTCTCTCTATATCTCTCTCTCTCTCATATATATATATCTCTCTCTCTCTCTCTCTCTATATATATATATATATATATATTTCTCTTCTCTCCCCTCTCTCTCTATATATATATATATATCTCTCTCTATATCTCTCTCTCTCTCTCTCTCTCTCTATATATATATATATATATATCTCTCTATATCTCTCTCTCTATATATCTCTCTCTCTATATCTCTCTCTCTATATCTCTCTCTCTATATCTCTCTCTCTATATCTCTCTCTCTCTCTCTCTCTCTCTATATCTCTCTCTCTCTATCTCTCTCTCTCTCTCTCTCTCTCTCATATATCTCTCTCTCTCTATATCTCTCTCTCTCTCTATATCTCTCTCTCTCTCTATATCTCTCTCTCTCTATATATCTCTCTCTTCTCTATATCTCTCTCTCTCTCTCTCTATCTCTCTCTCTCTCTCTCTCTATATCTCTCTCTCTTCTATATATCTCTCTCTCTCTATATCTCTCTCTCTCTCTCTCTCTCTCTATATCTCTCTCTCTCTATATCTCTCTCTCTCTCTATATCTCTCTCTCTCTATATATCTCTCTCTCTCTATATCTCTCTCTTTTCTCTCTCTATATCTCTCTCTCTCTATATATATATCTCTCTCTCTCTATATTCTCTCTCTCTCTCTCTCTCTCTCTCTGTTTTGTAATATGTCTTCCATTCTATAAAATGAGACCAGGAAAACTAGAATACAACCATAAATACCATACGAAAATACACTGCAAAGTCGCTGTTTTAAACCAAAAACACGGTCGGAGTTTTTTTTTTCTCATGTACTGTGTGCTGCAGGATTTTTTTATACTGTGCACACTGACCACATAAACCCATTCTTTCATATGTAGGCCTACCAGCTTTCTCTCACTAGATTTGAAGGTGAAAGAATTTAGGCGTTCTAGTACATCAACAACCCTGGTGCGTAAGCCGTACCAGTACATCGGAAACCCTTAAAGGGTTAAGATGGTCTTCGGCAACGATGAATTTTCTTATTTCTTATTTTTACATTTTTTTTTTTTTTGACCTAGTGCAGTTGTGCACTTAATAAATGATTCATAAGCAACAGCAAGTAAAAAAAAAAGGCTGTGAGTTGCTTTAAGGCAATACATGTATACACTTTATGGTGGTAGTAGTCTGGAACTTAACTGACCGTATTAGCGAGGTTTGCTGGTATTGTCATGCAATACTGACACTGACTGCTTTTTGGAAGGGTTTTAAATTCATCCAGTGAAAGACTTTCAGCAGGTGGATCTTACAGTAGCTTTTTATACAGTATTTAGAAATGCTAGGCCAATTTTTATATATTCCTTATTAGCAAACCATTAGGACAGGTCAAAATATAACAGAAACACTACCTAACATAACATAAAGGGAGAATGCAGACAATAATATTAAAACAGAAGATTATTAAAAGGGGATCACAAAAGTCTAAAAAATAAATATTAAAGAACTACACACTTAACACAGAAATACCATAAAAGAACAAAATTAACAACATTTCTTCCATCTTTATTTAATAACACTGCTTCCATTTTTTGTCATAAGTGGTAAACAGAACTTTCCTTTAACCCTTAAACTGTCCAAACATAGATCTACGTTTTTTCAACATTTGAAAGTATGTAAAAAACATAGATCTTTTTTTTTTTACATTTGAAAACGCGTTAAAAAAACTTAGATATACTTTTTTTTTTGTTATATGCGAAAATATGTAAAAAAACGTAGATTTACTTTTGGAGCACTATGCATGTGAATGTAAATTTGTTTGGACAGTTTAAGGGTTAAACAAATACAATCACAATGACAATCTGTGATGCAAATTTTGTTGTCAATGCGTTTAACAAAAGTAGTTGTCGACTACAGTAATTTAGACCTTCTCAGAGACTAGGTCTTGACATGGTGTAAAATTATCCACTGTCTTTCCCATAAACCGGTATGACGGCCAAAATAATGTGTGCTACTGAGGCCCCACAGGAAAGCTTTTTCTTAAAAGAGTATTTACAGCACTTACAAGATACAATACATGCATCATTATCATTAAATATATGTTTTTCATATGTATTATATAATGCATATGATAACTAACTAAGCATTAATTGAACCAGAATCCAAGGTGACTCGCAAAATCTTTACACGATTGCAAACAAACCAAGGTATTACAAGTCATTCAAATGATCTTTGCTATTAAACTATAAAAAAACTGAGTAATAAAATGTAAATCAAATTAGTAATATTGCCATGAAGCAAGCAGCCATTGCAGTAAACCCTGTAATGTGCATCCTCTTACCTAGAGATCCAGTAGATGCCCCACTGCTGATGGATGCCGTATCAGAACAATCATCAGTATCAAGATCAATATACCCATCACTCTCACCAGAATCTTCTTTGTTGTTTTCTAAGAGCACACCTCCTTCAGCACCTTGAATGTCCTCAAGCGCTGGCACTGGGTTGTTTTAACATTGCAAAGAAATTAATAACATACAATATTTAATATCTATATAATGTGACCCAGCATTATTTCAAATAATGAGCATGAAAAAACATAAATAACCCACACACAGGTGACATTAATTAATGGTCCAAGTCAGACAAAAACCTTTTTCTATGTGCAGGTTATTTGTGAATTGTTCCAGTCATGGTATTGTGCCTTTTTGTTCCTATAAAAAATTGATCTTTGCTTCCAAAATATTATCCAAATTTGTCCCTAGAGATCTCTTATTGTTTTCCACACATTTTTAACAAGAATTCTTCACTAAAGAAAGTAATTTTGACATTTTACACTCATCCTTTGAATGTATTCTTCAATTTTTATTTATTTCTATTTTCTCACAATCTCACATTAACCTCCATGACTTCTCACCCTATTCCCTTTCTAAATAATTTCAAGATGCATACAAGAAAACTTATGAAAAATATTCCTAATTTGTTTTTTCCCTCCCATCACCAGCAAAAATAATGATCTAGTTAAAGGAATTCTTGGATGATGTTCAATTGCTGTGTTAGTTTTGGTGTAAAATTATAACTTAATTTACTGTAACTATATTTCAGTGTTTTCCTCAGTGAAGGTGGAAGAGGGAAAGTGCAAGCCTTCATGTGATCAATTCATAATCTTAATCGCTTTAATACAAGTAATAAGAGCTTCACTTTAAGGAAAACCTGTGGGGATTATTTTTTTTTTACTTAGTATTTCTTAATATTGCGGAACAGAATTCTTCATCTTTAAGCCATGCATGTCATAAGAGGTGACTAAAATGTCAGGAGCAGGGGGCTAGTAACCGCTTCTCCTGTATATATTACTAAATGTAAATGAAAAAACTTTCGTTTTTCCTTTAAGGCCACCCCGCCTCAGTGGGATGCAGCCGGTGCGTCGAAAGAAGAAAGATTTCTTAATGTTATCCATGGCATCCAAAAAGAATAGTAGTAATGCAGGAGGTGCCAAGAAGAAAATTAAGCATGAAACTTTGATGGTTAAAAAAAAAAAAAATGGGGTTTCAGATATGATAGGCAGTGCACGTGACATGCAAACCACAGATCTCTTGGTCTCAGAGAAAATCAACCCATAATTACAATAATTACACACAGCAATCCCCCAAAGATATGAGATTAATGTACCATAAACGATGACTCACAATCTGAAAACTTGTATTGCACAAATGTATATTTAACATTATTTTCCCTTACCAACCATATGTCAATATTTTTTGTTACAATATATCATCTGGAAACAACAAAACAAACAGTACATATACAATGTGAAGTGTGCTTAAACACTCATGTCTGCACAAAAATGCTCGTATGCGATTCTCGTATTGGTGAAAAAAGGCACTTGTATGCTGATGTTGGGTACTAAAGAAAGATGCTCGTATTGGCAAACTCTCATATCAAAAGTTCTTATATCTCACATGATCAGAAAATAACTAATGAGAAATATAAACATATCCCATGCCTTTAATAGTTGTGTACCTACTTTAGCTGTATTTTTAAAATTGTTGAATATATTGGTAACTGATAATAAGCATTTGAAAAATTAAATTTGTGGCACAGCCATGACAAATGTGTTTTGAGAGTTTATATGGCCACCACAACTTTTGCCACACTGAGCCATATGAACTTAGTGTAAGCAACTCCCCACACTTTCTCAACACCTTCTACACCACTTGGAATAAGGCTCATTCAGCCTTTAAAAAAAAAAAAAAAAAAAAAAAAATATTGCAATACAAACTACAGTGGTACCCTGAGTTTCGACCATAATTTGTTCCAGAAGGCTGTTCGAGTGCCGTTACCAAACAAATTTATTCCCATAAGGAGTAATGTAAATTAGATTAGTCCATTTCAGACCCCCAAAAATACACTTACAAAAGCACTTACAATAATACACTTACATAAATGTTCAAGTTGGGAGCTGTACGAAACTCAGGGCACCACTGTACTGCCCTTTTCTTTCTTATTACATTTTCAAATACATTTATCTTTGGTAAATGTTTGTTTGGTAAAATATGGTAGGGAAATGTGGCTCACTCTCCACACAAACTTTTTTTTTGGTGGTTTCGTGAATGTAACCCTATTTGTCCATTATGTTCTTCATTTTAAAGTTAATTCATACAATGCATCAATTTTTGGAAATCTAACCCATGTAATAACAATTTTAGCATAAAACCAATAAATTTATGTAAGATTTATCTAAAAGTGAACAAAAATACGACATCAAATAAACTACCGAGTTCTTGTTCACTCGTTGACCTTCTAACTTGTTTATGAAAGCTCTAAACCTGTAAGAGCCACAAAGTGATTGGGAAATGGGAGGAACACACAATTAAGTTTGATCAAAGGAAGGGAAGGTCCAATTCCTTGGATCAAGAGCCCCCTCACTGGAATCAAGGCACCTTCAAGTGGCCTTCAACAGGAACAAAACATCCACCCATGAAAAGGGTAAAAATATTTTAACTTCAAAATATTAATTCAAAGGGAAGTTGTTCAAAGAGAGGAAGCACCATATCATTAACCCGTAAATGGTCCAAACGTATATATACGTTCACTACCCAAGTGCACCGAATATTTTGAAAAATAAAAAAATCATTTTTTTAATGAAAATAAAGAGCACATTTTCCTAAGCGTTATAGGATTAAAATAAAAAAATTAGGGTCAGTACTTACTGAGCTATGAGGCTATAAAGTTGCCACTTAATGCTCACCTGACGGCAACAGAGTCCTGCCACTTGCAGAAGTGTTACCGATATACCATTTTTTGTCATTTTCATATTACTTTATATAATTTTTATGTTCTGATAATTACAATTTATTGTAGTTCTTGTCATTTCATAATCAATCATTGTTCTGACACTAATATTAGGTACTGAAATTGTACTCAAATTGTCACAAACACATTGACAGGTAGACATTTACACCTGCCTTGGTCATTTACTAATGTCTAGGAATATTTATAGGTCCCAGCAATGCTCTGGATACATGGGAATACAGAAGAAGGAAGAAAGAAATTCCCTTGAAGCAATGTGTAAGACAAGTGTTCAGTCACAAGCATCCAGGAGGGCAGTGATAAGATCAGTTATGAGATGACATTTGATGGGCTTCAGCAAGGGTGCAGAGATGAGATAGTGCAGAGATAAGAGGAGATAAGCTATGACATTTGATGGGCACCAGGTTGGAGAGTGCAGAGATAAGGGATGACATTTGATGAGCTTGTATCTCTGATTATCCGTCTCTCTCATTTCTCTGTCTGCTTGTCTCTTTCCATCTCTCTGCTTGTCTGTCTCAGAGAGAGCCACTGTGAACCAACAGGTATTCTTATGCATTATATCTACAAGCACAGTATAGCACTTCGATTTTTTAGGTTATCCTAAGTAATTTACAGTATGTATTACTGTATTGGGGGTACTGTGAGACAGACAAGACGTAGAGATAGATGACAAAATGAGACGATAGGCAGACCCTAAACTTGGGGTTTAAAACATCATTTTCCTTTTAAAAGGGGAGTGTTAATACGACATTTACATCAGTGAATCCTTGGCGTTTGCCCACTGTTTGCTTAGCTGGCGCTCCCACAAGGTATAAGGGGTCCAGTTTTTTTTAATATGGTGCACCCATTCTTTGGGACGGGGACCCACCCCCAAATCTGAAAAATTTGGAGGCAGGAAAAAAAAAATGTATTTTTTTGTTTGGGGACTAGCAGTAAGAACGTAATATACGTTTGGTTTTTACGGGTTAAAAAATTATTGACTTTTGTACATCAGTAAGATAAACCATTTTAACCCTAATTACCTTCAGGTCAAAATAACCAAAAATAAATTTTTGCTTAGAATACAAAAAGCAGTTTGTGAATGAGAAGCTCCCTTCTTCCTTTGCTTTGATGAACAATAGGGGGATTGCAAAAAAATGATAAAAAGAAAAAATCAAATGAACCGAAAATATTCAAGGCAAATAAAGCTGTGTTATACTAATTGTGGTGGGATATCCCTAATCCCATTTTATTTGTCATGAGTTTTTCCCTAAGGTGAAAGAAATATTTGTGTCTTCTCCTTCACATACAAAACAGTTTTTTGAACTGTTTATAGATGAGTTTAGGTGACAAAAGATGGATATAAATGGGGGGAGAGAGTAGGAGGAGGTGAATGCTTCAGTTATTTAGGGGGACAGTCAGCAAAGGGTTTATAAAGGATGAGGTTTAAATCACAGAATTGATGAGGGGAAAAGGGGGGGGTGCACTTAGGAGTTTTTTGGGCACTTGGGATTTTTTTGTGAGACAAAAAATTTTGTCTGGGGAAAGCAAAAAGGGGAATGTGAGAGTATAAGTTTACCAACACCTTGTACGGGGGGGGTGGGGGGGATAATGTTGCAAAAAGGAAAAGGCTGGAGGCGTGGATGTCACGTCTGAGGGCAATGTGGGGTTTGGGGGAATAAATGCAGAGAATTCTTAGCTCAAATTTTTAGGGGGTGTGGGTTTACCAGGGGGTAGGGGGGTTGGGGTGGTTCGGGACATATAGAAGAATGGAAAAAAAACAGAAGGGACTTCGAGAGGATAATTGTGTGGAGGGAAGGGGGGGTAGGGGCGGCCTAGGAAGGGTTTTTGGGGGAGGGGAAAAAGGGGTTTTGTGTGCGAGGGGCTTGGACTTCCAGCAAGGTGCATGGCTTTTTTGATAGGAGTGAATAGGAAAAAATGGTTTTTAATACTTGCGGCTGTTAAAGTTGAGCAAAGTAACATTTGAGGGGATTAGGGAAACCCGGCAGGCGGGATTTAGTCCGGGAGAGGGGGAAGTACAGTGTCTACACTCTAAAGGAGGGGTGTTAATGTTGCTTTTTTTAAAACTGTAGTGTAAGAAAACCCCTCGGGAAAGACAGTGAGGAGGAATGTTATGAAGTTTTCTTTTTGGGGCCCACCCTGCCTTGGGGGGAATCGGCCAATGTGTTATAAAATAAAAAAAAATTTCTA